CTTGTAACGACCCAACAGGTCATTTTGAGTAGTACAACCATGTTCCTCTATTTACTACTCAATTTATACTTTACAGTTGTTATGTGACTCACCGGGGTGATTGGTTCGGGTCCGGTGAGGTTTTGGAATGAATTGGAGCACTTAGTTCCAAGGTTTAAAACTTAAGTTAAAATAGTGACCGGATATCGACTTATGTGTAAACGACCCCGAAATAGAGTTTTGATGATTCTAATAGTTCTGTATGGTGATTTTAGACTTAGGAGCATGTCCGAAAATTATTTTGGAAACCCGTAGCTAAATTAGGCTTGAAATGGCTAAAATAAAAATTTAAGTTTGGAAGTTTGACCGGGGAGTTAACTTTTTAATATCTAGGACAGAATCCGATTCTGAAAATTGGAATACCTTTTTTATGTCATTTATGACTTGTGTCCAAAATTTGAGGTCAATCGTAATTGAATTGATAGGTTTCGGCATCAAGTATAGAAGTTGGAATTCGTTAGTTTTCGTTAAGCTTAAATTGGGATGTGATTGGTGATTTTAGCGTTGTTTAATGTGATTTAAGGTTTCGAATAAGTTCGTATGATATTTTAGGACTTGTTGGTGTATTTGGTTGAGGTCCCGGGGGCCTCGGGTGATTTTCGGATGGTTAATGGATCAAATTCGGACTTAGAGGAAATCTGGAAGTTTCTGCCTTCTAGTGCAATCGCACCTGCGGAACTATCCTCGCAGGTGCGGCTGGCAATGCGCAGAAGAGGATTTCGACTTGGCCTGGCTGCGTCGCAGGTGCGTGAATAATTCCGCATCTGCGAGCCCGCAGGTGCGAGCCAGGCTCCGCAGATGCGGAGTGAGTGAGAGCAGTCTTGGACCGCAGAATCGGATGCTTCAATGCAGAAGCAAGTCCGCAGGTGCGATGGCCACCGCAGGAGCGAAGAAAAATCTCGCACCTGCGAGACCGCAGGTGCGGCTAAGCTGGTCGAAGGTGCGAAAATCCCTGGTCAGAACAAAAACAGAAGCGTCCGAGAAGTTTTGTCATTTTTGACATTTCCAAAACGGGTGAGGCGATTTTTGAGCGCGAATTCACGGAAAAACTTGAAGTAAGTCCCTTGTGATCATTTCTACTCCTTAATATTGAATTATCATCGAATAATCCGACTAGATTACATGCTTTTTTGAGGAGTAAATCAGGGATTTGAAAATAAGATTTGAGGATTTAGAGGTCGAGTTGAGGTCGGATTTTGGTAAAATTGGTATGATTAGACTCGTGGTTGAATTTGCTTTCAGATTTTGTAACTTTCGTCGGGTTCCGAGACGTGGGCCCTATGGGCGATTTTGGGATGAAATTTCAGATTTTTATAGAAAATTTATATTTTCATATGGAATTAATTCATATAATTTTTATTGAGTGAATCAGATTATTTGTGGCTAGATTTGAGGCGTTTGGAGGCCGATTCGCGAGGCAAAGGCATTGCAAAATAAATAATTATACGGTTTGAGATAAGTAACAGTTCTAAATTTGATTCTGAGGGTATGAAACCCTATATTATGTGTTATGTAATTGGTTTTGAGGTGACGCACATGCTAGGTGACAGACGTGTGGGCGTGCACCGTAGAAATTTTGACTTGGTCAATTTCATGGAACCGTGTAGTTGAATAATCTGTTGATATCCCTATATTTTCCACGTATTAGAGAAATCGAACTATAAATCATGTTTAAATCATGTGTTTATACTGTTAGGACCCACAGAGGTCGTGTACTTGTGGAATTATCTGTTAAATTATTATTTTGCACTCAATCGCAGTTTTATTTGCACATTTCATCTCAGTCTCTATTGTTCATTATTGATGCATCATATCATTGTTGTTTGGGCTGCTTGTCATGATTTCTGAGAGCCCGAGAGACTGGAGAGGTTGATGACTGAGTGAGGCCGAGGGCCTGATTGTGAGGATATTTATAGGATCGGGTTGCACACCGTAACATATTTTATTGATTTTGCCATGATTGGCTTGTTATAGCGCTTGGGTTGAAGGAGCCCCTCCGGAGTCTGTACACACACCTAGTGAGCGCATGTGCCTACTGAGTGCGAGTGCTGAGTGCGAGTGCCGAGTGATTGAGAGGAATGGGTGACTGTGAGAAATGAGTGACTGTGAGGTTGGAGTGAATGGGAGGACTAAGTGACTGTTACTCTGAGAGGATGCATTGATTTCATTATTGTTGTATTTCAGCAGTCATATATCACTGTTTTGGAAATTTCTAAACGGCTTATCTTCTGTTTCAGTTGAAGTTGATATGAAATTACTGTGGAATTTCAAATGTTGAATATGAGAGCATGCCTACCCTTTTTGTGTTAAAAACTACTGTATTTGGACTTAGTTGTGAAGTTCGTTACTACTCTCAGTTCTTATTTATTATTGTTACTTACTGAGTTGGTTGTACTCATACTACACCCTGCACTTCGTGTGCAGATCCAGGCGATCCCAGACAGAGTGAGTGTTGATTCTTTCGCACAGTTGATTTTTCGGAGATTCAGAGGTAGCTGCCGTGTTTCGCAGACCTTGTCTCTCCTTCCCTATCTCTTTGTTTACTGTATTTGGTCTCAGACTATTATAGACCGTATTTTCCAAACTTGTAATGTATAGATGCTCATGCAATCAGTGACACCGGATTTTTGGGAGTGTATTTATATCCAATATTTGTGAGATTTTCTCTTAAACTTAAATTATTATGTTTTCCGTATTTAAAAAGGAATCGTGGGTTATTGATGTTGTCGACTTGTCTAGTATTAAGATATGCGTTATCACGATGGTTATGATTTTGGGTCGTGACATAACTCTATCTAGGATACTCGACCTCGACCTTGATCTACGACGACTTCTCGACCTTGATCCTTGCTGACTCTTCGACCGCGGCCTTCATCATTTCTGGAACCACTTCGACCTTGGGCAGGTCTGCATTGAAGTCGTATTGGTGACACTTGGCAGTCTGTGAATGCCTCCTTAATATTAACATGATTTGATTATATTAGAGATAATTTTTGACTCATACAATCAACACAACAATATAGAACAGAAATACAACAGTGAAATCATGGAGATGAAGTAGTAACAACAGCTAAATAGTAATAATAACAGAAGCAAAAGCAATAACATGTAGCAATAGTAATCTAATAACAATACAAAACTAGACCAACAATAAAACTACTGGCAGGAAAAAGAAAGGATACTTGTACAATTAAGTAGCTAAAAGTTATTTATTGCATTATAAAGCAAAATCATATTTTACACCACTTTCTTTTTCTATTTTTAATAAAATTCTCATGTGAGTTAATTTGGGCTATTACCACAGCCCAAGTTGAAGGACCGTACATGTGTGTTTTTTAAACCCCTCCTAAATTAGGAGAATCTATAGTACTTTCGTATTTTTTTTCCAGTGTGAGTCGAACCCAGGACCTAACGGCCGAGGGTGAAGGTACTTTTACCGACTAAATAAGCCTCACTTGTCGATTGTACGTGCTACATCTCGCAACTGGTGGGTTGCAGTAGTTACCAAAATTTACAAACCCACACTCTTAATCATTGTTTGAAGAGGTGCGGCGCTAAACCTGAAGTCAAACGAAAAAAAGAAAAAAAAAAGGTAGAATACATCGACACGATCCCTTAAAGTTGTCCTCACTTTTCACTTAGACACTATTTCTTAAGTTTGTTCTATTTGAATACTTTAACCAAGTCTTTTTTGTATAATTTAGACACAAAATTCGTAGGCAGCCAAACACAAATGGTGCGTGTAATTCACACGCTAGAGTGATGAATAAAACGAGTACACGTGGATTTAAAATTTTAAAATTAAAACAATCTGAAAATAAAATAAAATATAAAAACAAGAACCCACCCCACCCATCGTCATCTTCCCCAACGGACTAATCCTCAGCCATGTTTCCTCTCTGAAATTGTCACCAGCTTCCACCTTGAGCAAATTCGACTCCATAAAAATTCTTTCCCATGTCATTCCCCGCTTGCAAAAGCCCAAATCATTTAATCGTCTCAAATGCCATGAATCTCCCAAAAAATAATTCCGGCGAACTTGACATACATCCATGCAGGCTCCACACCCATTATGGGCCAAATGTTGCCATAAGTGGACCAATTAGTGATCTATTTTTGCTCAGTTCTTGTTTATTAAGGCTATAATGTTCTAAGGCTAATTTATATTGGGTAGTTGTGGAAGCGAAGCATGGTAAATCGAGATCTGATTGTAATTTATTTTTTCAAATTTTAAAGATAAATATATATAGCATTTAAATTTGAGAAGATCTTACTTTTTGTGATAATAACTTTAAGGGTTATTGATGTATATTGCCTAAAAAAAAAATGCCATGGTGCAGAATTCATTTACTACTAATTTGTCGCGGAGTCGTAAATCACTCTATAGTTCAAGAATGAACGGAACAAACTCGACTTGTTGACAATATTTCAACAAGTATTGCATCTAGGCATTGTAATGAAATGGTACCTCGAGTATTGCATCTAGGCATTCTAGTCCCAGAATATTTCATTATTTTCAGTTTAGTCCCTTTTTAATTGTTAGTCAGTCCCTAAAGGAGTTAAGGTGGCTTTTGTCTGCAGCTGCAACGTGTCTAGTTAGTTGGTATTGGATTCCCTTTAAATATTCAGTGTATTTTTTGTGATCTATCTGAAATGAAAATCTAAGCTTTCTTTTTTCCTGTAAATTCTTGCTTTCTTCTACGATGCCAACGTGGGAATCGTTTCAATAATTTCTATTTGAGATTTGGCACTTGTTAGATTTGGCAACTAAGCACAATTGACCTTTAATTAAATTAAATGTGAGAATTTGATCCCTATAAATGACACAAGTACTGAAAGCAAAATAAGGGAATTAATCCAAGGACCAAAGTCACTATTTCCCCAACAGTAAAAACATAAGATTAGATTAGCAACTATCTTTACATTACATATATATATATATATATATATATATACAAAACTGACAAGAACAGGATTCTCTTTATTACAACTGTTGATTAGATACCCACAACTTTGAAGATATAATAATACACAGACCTAATTCACATTAGAAACTTAAGACTCCCAAAATATCCAACACATCCAAAACATAGAAAACAAAGATCACATACAAAACACTTCAAAATTATTCACCATACACACATAACATCACAAAAGAACTAAAACTCTATAATATTTTTTAACCAGAGATGTCAATAGCTTTCACTTCAGATTTCTTCTCTTCTTCTTTTGGTACAGTTACAGTGAGTACTCCATTTTCCATAGCAGCTTTAATTTCCTCCATTTTCGCATTTTCTGGCAGCCTAAACCTTCTCATAAACTTGCCACTGCTTCTTTCCATACGATGCCACGTGTCGTTCTTCTCCTCTTGCTCTCTGCTCCTTTCTCCACTTATCTGTAATACTCTTCCTTCTTCTACTTCAACTTTCACTTCCTCTTTCTTAATCCCTGCAACGTTACAGAAGTAACCAATTCTTCATTAAAATATTGCAAAAGTAACCAATTTTACATTAACACGTCTAAGTATAACCGGATCAATATAGTTCAGGGCAAATACCCATATAACCATTCTCAGGAATGTTATTTAAAAAATATTCAGTATTTATTTTTATCCTGAACTTTTAAACTATAAAAACTAACTTCATGATAATTCAGGACAAATTTTGTCCTAAAAAATTGAACTGAATGATTTAAATTCAGGACGCACTGCTACTTTTTAAATAACAGCCCATTAAAGTAGCTACTTAGTGTAATTTCTACATATAGTTCATGCATAGACTTAAGTCCAAATAAAACCCGAAATGACCCACGGTTCTATTTGATCAAAACGGCGAAAGTACGCACATAATCATTTTTGGGACTCCGGAAATAACTTCCGAACTTTGTATTCTAAAAATTTAAACTGAAAAACTGAAATTCAAATCTAATTTCTAAATAACAATCCTCTAGAATGGTTACCTAATAATATTTCTATGATCAAAACAGGTTAAACCGACCCGATATAAACAACCCGATTTACATACCTGGAACATCCATTTTGAAGATATGGGAATCTGGGGTTTCTTTCCAATCAATTCTTGCATTTGCAAAAGCAGAAGTTTCACGAGCAGAAGATGGAACGTTAGCAACAGTGCCTGAAAATGGAAAGCCCTCAAACGGATCAAATATATCAAGTGAAAACGGGTCGAAAATATTGCTCCTTCTACCACCAAAGAAACTTGGAATCATAGCCATCTTTTTTTTTTCTTTCCAAATGGGATTTTGGAAAATTAACAGACTTGAAATTGTGATTTTGATTGTTGTGTTTGATTTAGAAGGTTTCGTGCTATTTATAGCAAGGGGGTCGAGAAAAATAAGTAGAAGAATCAAGAAACTTATCCAGTTCGAGTGTAATCTAGGATGTTCTTACAGTTAATATTTGATAGGAACGGTTGAGGTTTCTACAACATTCGACAGACTTCTTGTGTTTTATTTCGGAAATGCAAAAATATTATTATATCTATCTATGTATCTATCTATTTATATATATTAAAAGCACGAAATCACTTAGTAAAGTCTCGTTCGCCTTTCACCCTTTAAATATAGATTTCACAATAGATAAAATCGTAATTTAAATTAACTTACTAATATTTAGGATTTTCAAATGCACTTCAATTAATACTTAGCCCAATATTTAGGACTACAATATATAATAAATACTTTAATTTGGATTTTCTCTTCTTTAGGCTATATAACAAATCCTTTAAAGCTTCAAATCTACACGAAGTTTGAAAGCCACAAAACATTTCCATAATTGATACGAAGTAATACTAAAAATTTGTACTTATTTAATTATTATTATTATTATTTAAATATTATAACAACAACAACAACAACAACAACAAGAACGACCTATTAAAATTTCATTAGAGGGTCTGGGGAGGGTAGTGTGTACGCAGACCTTACCCCTACCCCAAAGTAGTAGAGAGGCTGTTTCTGTGATGACCCAAAATGTCATCTTTAAATTTAATAATTAATTCTGTGTTCTAAAACCTCAAAAAATACTATTTATCATTCATCGACTTGCGTGCGCAGTTTGTAAAATTTTTCGGAAAGTTTTTATGTGAAAAATGGATTAAAATGTGAATTAGAGCTTTAAAACTCAACTGAGTTGGCTTTGGTCAATATTTTGAGCAAATGGACTCGGATCAGTTTTTTGACAGTTCCAGCAGGTCCGTATCGTGATTTGGGACTTGGGCGTATGCCCGAAATCAAATTTCGAGGTCCCTAGCTCGAGATATGGAATTTTGATGAAAAATTAAAAGTTTATGTTCAAATAGTGACCAGATGTCGAATTGTGTGCAAACAACCCAGGAATAGAATTTTGATGATTCCAGCAGCTACGTATGGTGATTTTGGATTTAGGAGCGTGATCGAAATTTTATTTGGTCCGTAGTGAAATTAGGGTTGAAATGACTAAAATAAGAATTTAAGTTTGGAAGTTTGACCGGGGAGTTGACTTTTTGATATCGGGGTCGAAATCCAGTTCTGAAATTTTTACAACTCCATTATATCATTTATGACTTGTGTGCAAAATTTGAGGTCAATCGGACTTGATTTGATAGGTTTCGACATCGAATTTAGAAGTTGAAAATTCTAAGTTTCATTAAGCTTAAATTGGAGCATGATTCGTGATTTTAGCGTCGTTTTATGTGATTTGAGATTTCAAATAAGTTTGTATGATATTTTAGGACTTGTTGGTATATTTGGTTAAGGTTCCGAATGCCTCGGGTGAGTTTCGGATGGTTAACGGATCAAAAGTTGGACTTAAAAAGGTGTTGCAATTTTCTTCTGCTGTAACTGCAGAAATCGAGCCCAGGGACGAGGCTCAGGATCGAAGGCCCAGCTCGAGGGCCATGATTGAAGGCTAGATCGAAGCCACGATCGAAGGCATGATCGAATTCCCAGCTCGAGGGCCATGGTCGAAGGTAAGGCTCGAGGGTTAGGGATCGAGGCCCATGATCGAGGGCTATGACCTAGGCCAGGATCGAGGGCCATAAAGATTTAAGCCATGATCGATACCCAGGATCGATGGCTGCCTCGGCAGTTTATAAAACTAGGGATTTCGTCCCCAGTTGCCATTTTTGACGAACTTGAGCTTGAGCAGAAGCGAATTTTGGCAGATTTTCAAGGAGAAACATTTGCGTAAGTGATTCTAACTCGGATTTGGTCAATATACACGAATATATCATTGTTTTCATCATTTAATTAGTGTATTGAGATGGAAATTTAGAAAAATTTTAGGAATCTCATAAAAACGAATTTTTGAGATTTCGGTGTCGATTCGGAGTCAGATTTGAGTGAAACTGGTATGGTTGGACTCGTAATCGAATGCGTTGTCGGGTTTTGTAAGTTTCGCCGAATTTCGAGATATGGGCCCCACAAACAATTTTTAGGTAATTTCGGATTTTATTGAAAAATGTAGTATTTTCTTATGAAATTGATTCCTATAATTTTTGTTTGACTGTATCGAATTAATTATGACTAGATACGAGCCGAAAAATCGAGTAAAAGGCATATTACTTGGTTAAATTGGAGCAAGTCGAGGTAAGTGACTTGTCTAACCTTGTGTGGGGGAAATTTCTCCTAGGATTAATATTAATTGTAATGTGATGAAAGTCGTGTACACGAGGTGACGAGTGTGTACACAAACTAAATGTGAAGGATTGTGTTTTTAAATTGTGTAGATCACCGTTGCGTATTAATTAAATTATTAAATCTTGTTACATTCCCCATCATTGATTTGATTTATATACTTTAAATTTGCTTGACCTTTTTCCTGCTAATTGTTTTACCTGTTTAGTTGGAACTCAGTTTCTTTTATTCTGTGCATTATTTAAAGATTAATTTTTTTTAAAATAAATATTATTAATATAAAGTATTTGACATTTTAAATTTGGTATTGAAGCAACGTATTAAAGATTTTAAAATATTATTTTGTTGAATTATTTATTCCTAAATATTTTTGTAAGATTTCGTATTCATTGTGATGGAGCCATGAGCTCTTTATGGTGGAAATATATTATTGATGATTTATTTCGGCATGAGCCGTGAGCTCTTTATTGTGGAAAGTATTATTGCTGAATTATTTTGGCAAGTTAAATTATTTAAGCACTTGAGGTATAAATTGTGATATTGATACGCATGCGGTACTATAAGGTCTGGGTATTAAAACGCATGTGGTGAGATAAGGATGGCTTGATACGCGTGGCTAGTAGGGGGAACTACTAGAAGTCATGCGGTGTGATAAGGATGGCTAAAATGCGGGATACTATTTTGGGAAAAAATATTTTCTTTAAAATAAATTGCGATGGCTCCCGCGGTGAGATAAGGAAATGAGATATTGTGAATTTATTTATGATTTGGGATTGCGAGGCGGTACCTCGGGAGTGCCCTAGTTGATGTTGATTTATGGCCGTAGTTGCCTTTGATTTTGTTGTGATTTTTCTTAAAGTTGAAAAGAAATTTTGTTTTGTTCCACGAGGTATTATTTGCCATTATTTGTGTAATTAAATGGTGACCTACTACTTGATTCATTTCCATTGTCATTTTATTTTATTATATTGTGAAATATTTTACCATGCCATTTATTATTATTTTTCAGTATGGCCTCACCTGACATCGTCACTACTCTACCGAGGTTAGGCTTGACACTTATTGGGTACCGCTATGGTGTACTCATACTACGCTTCTGTATAACTTTTTGTGCAGATCCAGTTACACCTTATCAGACCAGTCATTAGTAAACTAGATGTACGAGGAGACTTCGAGGTATATCTGCCAGCGACCGCAGACTCCGGAGTCTCCTTCTATCTTACTATATTGTCTTCCTTATTTGCTTTAGACTCTGATGTATAGAGACATAGAGAATAAATTCTTAAAAATTTGTGACTTATTTCTACCGGATTTTGGGAGTTGAAATTGTTTAAATTGTAGTTTATTTATTTCAAATTTAATTTTTTTTTTCCGCATTGATAGGCTTACCTAGTCTTAGAGATTATGTGCAATCACGACATCATACAGAGGGAATTTGAGGTCGTGACAGTTTCTGAAAGACCCTCGGTTCAAGAAGACAAAAGGAGACAATATCAGTACCACCACAGAGATCATAGGAAAAATAATAACATGAAAAAGAGAAGATATATGCAAAGTAAAAGCGATAGCCAGTAAATATACCCGACACTATGAGAAACGAAAGAAATAAGACACAACATTGCCACTAGCTATCTTAGACAAAAGTTCTACCAAACTAGTCTCACAAAAGTACGTAGTAAGGCAAGACTCAACAATCTCCTAACATACAATCCTAATACTCGACCTCCACAACTTCCTATCATGGGTCATGTCCTCGGAAATAAATATTATTATTATTATTATTTAAATATTATTGATGATTCGTTTAGAAGCATGCCCCAAAAATTAAACACGAAGTAATCCGATTACTCATTAAAAATATTATTGATATGAAGTAATCTCACAATTGATTTGTAACTTTATATTCAATACGCGTACTCAAAAACTATGAAAATTGTAAAAGTACACTTATTTGCCAATTTTCTCAACAAAAAAAAATGAGCCAACAATATTCAAAACATGCATGATCATACAAAGAACAATCAAGTTACATTTTTGCTACATGAAAATAAAAAAAATAAAAAAATAGAAGTTAAAATATGTCATGAACCAAATATATGGTTACATGATTGATTGCGACACGAGAATAAAAATTGATACACCTAAAATACAATATGAAGTTGAAAGATATCAGAATGATCTTAATTCCAATCGACGAAAGAAATATTATTTTTAATGACAAAAGAAATAAGCTAACTGTAATCGAACTAAAAAATTAATAAAAAAATAAATTCATTCACGTGAAAGAATTATTTAACTTCTTATAGAGGTTCACGCGATGATCATTATCCTCTTTTATCTAACACCGCGAGCTATCAAATTCTTTGGTTTCAGAAGTAATAAATCGAGACAGTGAAAACATAGATGTAACACAAACACATCTTTCAACTAATTAATTATGCTATTTTCAAAATATTTTTTCTTCTTTATACAGGGTACATATACAAGGGTACACGCGCATCGCGCGTACACTAAAAATAGTATTATATTAAAAGCACGAAAGCCCTTAGCGAAATGTCGTTCTCCTTTTTTACCTTTTTAAAATAGAGTTCTATTGGAAAAAATAGTCATTTTATTATTTCCTAATATTTAGAATTTCAAAATTAACTAATAATTTATACTATCAAACATTTCTTATTTAGATACAATTT